GGGTGGGGGAGCCTGTCTGTAAAGTGAGGAGCGTGTTGGGGTGATCTCCATGGACTCCTCTGGCTCTCACACTCTGACGCTGTGACTTTAGGAGGTGGCGTTTGATTTGGGTTTTAGAAGGTGGGGTGATTTTGACAGGCTGCCGTAGGAATGAGGGAAAAGGTATTCCAGGTGGTGAAAACTATTTGAGCAGAAACACAGAGGCCAGTAACTAGCAAGAATCCTAGGAATGATGTGTAAATAATCTTTTCAGACAAGGCTGAAGTTTAATCCTGCAGAAGACAGGAGAGAAGAGGGATCTGGCACCAAGCTGAGAGGGCCTTGAAGTTATGCTTAGAAGCTGGGAGTTTTTTCTCTGGAATCACAGAATTTGAAAGGTCCTTGGAAGTACCCTTCTCCCATGACTGACTTCTCTGTATAAACAGTTCCAGAGATAGACTTCTCTAGACCATCTATTTCATTTTTAGGCAAATTTTCATGTAATAAAATTAATCTGCACATTGACTCAAAACTTAAGGATTGCAGCTCTACTTTATCCAAGGTGTAGATAATGGAAGATTGTAAATGGTAGATGTTCAGGGATATGTAATCCAAGGCCTGAACTAGAACTGTGGCAGTACACAAATAATGTGTTCCCAGAGGAATAGGACTTTAAAAAGCAGGAAGCCATAGGTCCTGCTCATGAGGAAGCTGGATTGGAAGGCTACCATGACAAGGACTGTGCTCTCTCCGGTCGGGAGTACTGTTTGCAGGTGGAGGGCAGGAGGTCGGGACTTAGGAGGCAGCTAAGGGTTCCTGAGTGTTCGCTACACTGACCAAGGGGCAGAAGCAAGAGTGCGTCAGAGAGGGGAGTGAACGTGAGCTGTTGAGGAACTGAGAGCTCTTCTGTGGCTGTCGTGCAGCGTGTCATGTGCCTGGATGAGGCCAGTGCAGTAGACAGGGCTGCTTGTAAGGGACTGTGCCTTACTAAGAAGTGAGTTATATCATGAGCCCAGCTGAGAAGCCAGGGTTGTTAAAGTAGTCACTCTCCCCCAGGAGAGTGTCAGAGCATGCACGTGCCTTTAAAGTATTAAAACATATTTAAAAAACATGGAAGAAGAAATAATCACCTTTAGTCTTTCCAGGCAGGAATAACTACTGTTGAAACCTTTAGTGATTTTCTAATCATGTGTCTTCCTGTGCATGTACATAAGAAACGCATGCCCTTACTGCAGATGTAGTTTGTGTATGGCATCTTCCCAGGTCCATACATGTCAGCATTTTTTAGCCATGCCATTAAAAGTTTTTTGAGACATTCCTAATGACTACATATCATAGCCCAAAAGATGATGACATTTTATTATACTTAAATGTCTTGTAATGGGTTAATTTTTAACTTGCTTGTTTTTTACTCTTACCAGTAACATTGTGATAAACAGCTTGTTTATAAATTTGCCTCCAAATCTCATCGTTTCGTTGGGCTGCATTTCACCATGTCCGTGCTCTAGTGGGACGTGTCTAGCTGTCCAATGGCGTGGTGGGTTTTGTGTGTATTACAGCGGTTATGACAGCATTGTGAAGGTTTGCCGGGAAGAAGTGATCCTGAGACAAGCAGCCTAGAGTGTTTACTTGAGCAGTGTGGCCAAGGTATGAAGGCTGAAGCCGTTACTGGTAACAGTGCAGAGAGAGGACGCAGCACTGGCGCTGCAGGTGTCGCCATGGCAGCCTCTGTGAACTTGATGAAAGCTCTCGTTCCATTCAGGGACGTCAGGAGCCTGTGCAGTGCAGGGTGTGGAGACTAATGCTGCCGCGCCCCAAGGCAGGCGGTCTCGGGGACGCAGACAGAGCGACGTTTTGGCCCAGGAATGGAGAAATGACCTGTTCACTATTAGTTATGGAGCCTGTAAGAATACAGAGGTGAAGCTGTCAGGAAGACGGTTTGTAACCCGGCCTCGTAGTTTAGGAGAGAGGTCAGAGAGGACGTCGGCATGCGGGGGCCGTCCCCATGAAGGTGGGGGTGCTGAGACCCTGCACAGAGGAGCGAGGAGTGCTGGAGACTAGGACTCGTAGAGTCATGGAGGATGGATCAGAAGATGCCTTCCTCCTGAGTAACGGACGGCAGAAGCTGGAAAAGGAGCTGCGAGGGGATTACTGCGTGAGTGGTTTTGAGGCTACTGAGAGAAGCTGGAGCTTCAGGGAAAAGCTCTTCAAGCTGTCGGATGATGCAGGGATGAAGCAAGCAATGAGCAGGAGGAGCTGCCGTCCACAGGACCAAATCGAGCCACCTGCACTCAGGGGCGGGCCAGGTGGAGAATGGAGAGTAGCAGAGCCAGATTGTAGTAGCAGCGTGGAGGGTAAAGGGACCCAAAGGAACGCTGTTTCTGGACTGTTCCTGAGATGGGCTGAAGGGAGTGATGGCAGCAGCGGAGGGCTTACTTTTCTGCTCATTTATTTTAAGTAAGGGAAGCTAGCTTTACTTTTTTTTGTTGCAGAACCAGTGATTGAACTCAGGCCCTTGTGCTGGTCAGGGAAGCGCTTATTCTACTGAGCTATCTTCCCGGCCCCTTACAAGTTGTTATGTAACTGACACTATCCCTTCAGCATTTGCTCTTCTTTGGGCTTAAAATCATTCTGTTGGCAAGTATCTTACACTGAAGGGCACGTTCCAGCCAGCTCCTGGTGGAAGCCACGCTGCGCAAGCTCCTAGAGCCTGCCGCTCTACGGCAAGCAGCCCTGCGGCTGTGCACGTGGTCTCACTGGGTTGGAGTAAGGCTCTGCAAACTTCAGCAGCTAGCGTTTGGAAGTGCAGCTTTGAAGTTACACAATATACTTCTGCCCTTGAAGTTTGATTACCTGAAAAAATGGTCAAAAATGATGAATGTTTAAAAGTTACAGTTTAGAGGAGTCTTTTTTGTATTGCCAATTGCTGACTAACAGAGAGCTTTAATTCTAACATACTTTAATTAGAGAGAAAAACAATCAAAGGGTAATGTCAGCTAGAATCATAGTGATCCAGAGCAAGAATGCTTTTGTTGGTTACAGAACATTGAAATCCTGTGGGATTGTCTTTTTCACTTCCTGTAATAACAGTGAAAATATCAGACATCTCAAGAAGCTCAAACTCTCCGTCTTTTTGAACACAGAATCATTTTGGTGGCCGTTTTTCATTGACAACATATTCTTTGGGGTTACAGAACTTCTTTAAAAGATAGGCTAAATACTTGGTTTTAAAACACAGAGCGATATGGTAAACATTCCCAAAAAAGGGGGGAGTAGGTGGGGCAGTGTACATCGACTTACGGTTTCACAGTGAAGTAAGCTAGTTTTGAATATTATTTCTCTCAGAATGATTACTTTACAGATGTTGACATTAAAAAGAGCTGTCACAGGCTGGACATGGTGGTGTGTGCCCTTGTCCCAGCACATGGCAGGCCTCAAACAAACTGCCATGAGTTTGAGGCCTGCTTGAGTTACCTACTGAGTTTAAGGCCTCCCTGAACTACACAGGGAGACACCGACTCAAAAAAAAAAAAAAAAGGAAAAATATAAAAGGAAGAGGTATCACTTTCTTAGAGGTCATTATGTCATATTAGCAAAATTTTTCATGCAGAAGATCAAATGAAACAACGTGAACGCATGACTTTGATTTTTATAAAAAGCCTCATTATCTTTCTCTTTAGATGAGATTTGACCATTTTCTAAGACACCATTTTACAGGACTGGCCACATAGCTCAGAGGACTAAAGCACTTGCTTAGGCAGAGCGTAGCAGCAAGGGTTCCATCCCCAGTGTGCAGTGCTGAGACAGGACTGAGACTGGGCATGGTGGTGAGCACCTGTAATCCCAGCACTTGAAGGCTGAAAACAGAATCACTATGAGTCCAATCTGTGTAGTGAGACCCTGTAGACCGTGTACCAAATACATAAAAAAGCATGATTTTATACTAAAATTCTCAGCCCTTCTGTTTTCCAGTGAAATTAAACATTTATTTTAACTACCCTTAGCCTTATCTTCCTTCTTATCCAGTGTAAAGCTTTAATCTCTCTTTCATCATTATAGCCAACTCTCCTGCTCCTTGACTTCCCGGGCTCTGATTCAGTCTGCCTGAAGTAAGGTTAGGCAGTAGGCTCGACATTGTCCACCTCGCTGGACCATGGCATTTATAGCCTCTGCAGCTCATGGCCTTCAGTTTGATGGCCCTTCAAGGTGGCCCTGGCTTCAGCCTTTGTTTCCCTCAGCAGATCTTTCCTTTGTGACTTCTCGATACTTTCCTTTGTGCCTCTAAACTTCCTCCTGCCACTTGGCCCCTTGGTCCCAGAAGGTGATCTTGACTCCTGCTTGATCGAGGTCACCAGTTAAGACCTTGTGAATTTCTTTATTCCCAACCCCCAACGCTACTCACAATTTTTTTTTTTTTTCTCAATATAGTACCTTCGAGCCACTTTCCGACTTTTTCTCCTCAACTCTGTCCCTGGGTTGCTTAAAAAAACAGTGTCCCCCTGTTTGCCTTTCCTCTCTCGTTCTTGCCAACTTTCCCAGTGACCTCACGCCTGTAAGGTGCTTTGCCACTTTCACCTTTCTGGGTCTCTAGGGAGTAGCGGCGAACCTTGTAGAGCTTTCAGTGGTAACAAACACCCCAACTGCCACTCGTGTGACCTGTGTCATTTTGTCATTATTGAGCAGTTTCAATTTTTAGTAAAAACTTTTCTCTTTTGTATTTTTTGCACTTTAGAGTTTCATAAATTCAAACTTGCCATTTTCTAAAATATCTGAAAAAAAGGTTTTAATGCTTTATAAATAAAGCATTGTCGTAAATAATTGTAAAATTACATCATCTAATATCAATTATATTATATTATGGAAATGTTATAACTCAGCATCAAATACACCTTTAAAATAAATATTTAGTTCATAAAATATCTGACTGGTAATCATTTTATTGTGTATATCAAAACATCACAAAGTAAGAATAAAAATACAAGAAATATATATTAATTATTCTTTGCATTCTTCTTTTTTAGTTAATGAAGGAGTTCCCACTCCTTAGCATGTTCAACATCCATGAAAACCTTTTAGAAGCCCTTCTGGAGCTGCAAGCGTATGCTGACGTTCAAGCAGTTTTAGCCAAGTATGATGGTGAGTTCTGGGTATTTTCATGTGCTTGAGAACTCCTCTCTCCCTGGTAGATTTAGTGATTGAGGTCTTTTCAAGTAGCACAGAACTTTAATAATCCCCCTGTCAAAATATTTTCACCTACAGGTTAGTGGTGGTGGTTTGTAAAATCCCTGACTTGTACGCGAGCGTGGCAAGGGCTTGTGGCCCATCCCCTCTGCCCACTGCTCTGTGGGCATTCTCCCGGGAGGCACTTCCGTGTCCTCTGCTCCCCCTGCTGTGGTCAGACAGCATCACTCCCGTTGGACAGCACGCCTATTGGAAGCCTTCACTGGTTCACTGTCACCCCTGGGGCAGTGTGGGACAGCTAGTGTGGGCCTGCGCATGTGACAGCTCAGTACACTTGAAGGTGAAATTCCGCCCCTCACCCTGGCTCTTTTCCTCGTCTTTACCCCAGTCTCTTGAAGAGCTCTCAGCTGCCCTTACCACTTTGGCTGCATCAGGGCTGCTCATCCATGAAGTTAGTCTGCTTCTCGTACTCTTAACAAACCAGAGAAAGAAACTGGCAATCCTTGAGATTTTTAAGCATAGCTCATGTTGGTGTTATCCATGAGTTCAGTATGTGGTTAATCATATAAAAATTATCTGTATGCTCTAGCTGTCATGATCTAGCTACTGGAGTATGTGCAGAACGCCATACTGTTCTGTCCTATTTGAATAACTGTCCCTAAAATAAATGTATTTGCCTATAAAATAGATTGTACAGAGTCAGAACATATGCAATTACTTTACACTCATAAAACAATCTTTAGTATGCACCTTTAGTCCATTTAAAGAAGTATTAAGGTCAGTAACTTCCAGAAATTCATCAAACATAGAATAAACCACACCATTTGAGATTTTATTTCATTTTAACTTGATACGGGGTCTCACTATGTTGTTCAGGCTGATCTTGAACTGGCATATGTAGCCTAGGCTAGCCTAGAACTCAGGTGATTCTCCTGAGTGTTGGGATTATAGCTATGTGCCACCACAGCAGCTAGATTATTTTTGACACAAAATGTATGAGCTGTCTTCAATATGGATCGGGTTTATTATCTCCTACAGTTCATACTGAGGCTTTGAAAGACTGTTTTCATTTCGTTTTTTCAAGCTCAGATTAGTGGAAATTAAGCCCTTGGCCAGTAATGGCATTATTTTTCCTTTGTAGGCATGAGCACCCTGTGTAATGAGTACCTGCTTCTTAGTATGGAACTTATTTTACAAAAGAGAAAAGTACTTGTGGTATACTGTAAAGTAAACAAAGACTGTTCGGGCTTCATATCAGCTCATTTTTATTTTCTTTTTATATGTCGGACTCTCACTGTACAGCTGAATATTAGCGTGGGCTGGGTGGTCTAAGGAGGGCTCCTTATACACAAAATACTGCACGGAGATTCTTGTAGCATCAAGAGAACCCCTGCCAGTTAGTTTAGGTGCCAGGGTACTGTTCCAAGTGTCGTGGCAAGGTTCTAGTGTGCTCATTACCTATATTCACCTTGATATATCAGAGCTTAAGAAATAAACATTTAGCAAATAGAGCCTTTCATATCATAAATCGTATGAGGCCCCTTTCGTGAAGATCTTGGTTCATTACAGAAACCATCATTCTCGTGTTATAAAACTGAACGCAAAATTAGAAATGAACTCACTTTGAGCTGTTCACTTTCTCTGTGTATCCTGTTGTAAGCCTCTGTTCTACAAAAACCAAAGACTGATTTATTAGATTCTGATAACATATGTTCATGTTATTTGTTACAACAGTCTGTCCCGCCCTCCACTAAAACTTGGCTCCGCTGTGAAAAATTCCTTTGTTGCAAATGGACAGACTCACCATATCAAGGCTCTTGTGTTGAGCTTTTGTTTATGTGTGTACCTGGCAACAGAAATGATGTCCTTGTTCATTATTCATGGAAAAAGAGCTTCATTAGTGGCAGGACACATACTGTGCCTCATTAGGGGTTTCGAGTTCAGCAGTTGTCGATATAGTGCCGATGACCTAACCTTGACTGAATTCTGAAGGGAGTTTTGGTGCTGACTTGGCTCAGTGCTCCATCATTTACAGTAGAAATATAATGAAGTGGCTGCTGAAGTTGCTGTTCTTGAGGGGTGACCTGCATCCATGCAAGACTGTTGAAGAACACATGTCTCGTTTCTCATCCCGTACCATAAAATAGGTTCTTTCAAGTTCATCAGTATTCCTTTTCCTGGAGTCTGGAAGGAGCCTGACTGCATTGCTGGTGCTTTTTCTGGCTTTGTGCAAGAGAAATGGGTGCTTAAGAGTGCTAGGAGTATGGCTTTTAGGGACATTCTGTTCTTTGCCATACGTGTCATCATTCTTATCTACGAGATGTTGGAGACAGCACTTTGAATTCTAGTCCCTCTATCCATCTCCATTGCTCCGTACCCAGAGGAAGAGGATTAAGTGTTATCTTTGCAAATTGGAACACTCTTCTTGGGCAGGTGTACCAGTATGTTCCCCACCCCTTTTTTCACAACCTTTTTTCTTGGTATAAGTTCATTATTGGCCATGCAGACTAATAGATTTTTTTTAGCAGACTCATCCATGCTCATAACGTACTTTGATCATTTTACTCTTCTGTACCTCTTCCCACCCTCCCCCTAGTCTCACATATTTTTGGAGGACTCAGTGTATATATTTTGATTATATCCATACTCCCCATTATTAGACCTTATATATTCTCCCTCTCACCCTTATTCCCATCCTCTTGTCTAATGACTCCCATCTATTTTCATGTCATCTTTTTATAGGTTCCACATATTAGAGAGAACATGTGATATTTTGTCTTCCTGAATCTGGTTTATTTTGCTCAACATGATAATACCCAGAGCTCTCCATTTTCTTGTAAATGACAGAATTTGTTCTTTGTTCTTTTTTATGGCTGAATATATATATATATGATGGGACTTCTTAGTCTGGTTCCATATCTTGACAATTATGAACTGTGCTGTAGCAAACATGATTAATTCAGGTACCTATGTAGTATACTTACTTTAATTCCTTTGGCTATCACAGAAGAGTGGTAAAGCTGGCTCAAACAATAACGCTGTTCTTAGAGTTTGGAGGAACTCCCCTACCGATTTCTGTAGTGGCTGCACTTACGTAGATTCCCCCTAGCAGTGCAGAAGGGTTGTTCCTCCCAGTATCCTCACCAGTATTGACTGTGTTCTGTGTTCTTAGTGGTGGCCACTCAGAACCCCAACTGGTCTCTGTGTATGAAAACTAAAGAAAGAACATCACGAATAAATTTCCGTGTGAACTGTGAGAGTACGACTAGCACTCTACAAGAAATGCGCTTGCTGCAGTTAGCACACCTAGCACAGTCGGTGCCCACGACAGCATCATGTGCTGTGTGCACGTGTCACTTAGCGCTGACAGTGCGTGTCTTTTGCTGTCCTGGCCCTTTTGTATGCGACCCTTGACACGTACGTAGCGGGCCTTCTGCTTTGGCAGGGGGTCCTCATTGTATTGTGCAAGAACATAAAATAGCAATAAAATGAAGTGTTAAATTCTTCTTATGTATTATATGTTTAGAATAAGCATCAACATTTTCACAACAGCTGGGTATTTGCTTACAAAACCTAAAAGATAACATCAAAAATAAATTCCTGGAGCCAGGGAGACAGCTCAGTAGAATAAGCACCTGCCTGGCAAGTGCAAGGCCCTACGTTCATTCCCCAGTACCACAAAAATAAATAAATAAATCCCTATATAAACCACCACAAAAATATTTTTAGTACTCTACAAAATAAATCTTTACTTCAATTATTATACCTAAGTAATAAGAAAAATAAAATATCAAAGGTGTAATGAGGTTTAGAATGACATCATTTTCCCATCAGTTGTGTGCTTGCTTACAAAACCTGTAAGATAACATCAAAAATAAAGACCTATGTAAGTTGCAATGTAAACACAAATAAAAGCCTATAATAAAAGGACCCTGCGTCCCCTGTTGTACCACGGCAATCTTCGCTGGTGCTTCATGCACCTTGTTTGTGCTGACAGCACATGTACTTGGCTTTCTTTTCCTATGTGGCAGGCCACTCCTGTCATCTCTCTCTTCTTCCTGTCTTGTCAGAAGCTTCCTATTTAGTATAATATGTACTTAAGAAAATAAGATCAATAAAATAAAGTACTGAATGTATAATAAGTGCTTAGATTGGACATCAGCATGTTCACCTGAGCTGCTTACTTGCTTACAAAGCCAGGACATAATATCAGAAAACTTAGGTGAATTACAATGAAAGTACCAGTAGAAGTCTACAATAAAAAAAATCTTTGCATCAGTTGTCACACCCAAGGTAGTCTTCACACATGAAGATTGCATGTTCCGTACACTAGTATGGCTTATACTAACGATGTGTCTTGTTGCTCTGTACTTTCTTATAGGGCACTGTTGATACTAGCTTGTTTCCCTATTGTCGTGCTAGGCGTTTGGTATCAGTACCACACACTACCCATGTGGGATGCTGTACCTCTGTTGTTCACCTGTCAGCTCACTGATGTGGTCCAGCAATTTTTGTGTAGTTTTTGCTCTGCTATAAATGATCTGTTAGGAGTTCCAGTCCCAGTCCTCTAAGAGAATGTCCCCATGATATTTTGCACTTGTTATTTTCTTAGTAAAGTATCAGACTGTTTATGCCACACTTGTTTAGGATTGAGTAAAATGCAACCATAGACCAATGCTTTGTGTTTTGAGTGACGTCACAGTTGATGTATGACTCATCAACAACATCTACTGTGCCTTTGGTTTTGTTGTAGAAGCTTTCCGTCTCAGGCTATCATTTAGTCAAGGTTTCCCTGTCAATATTTCCGTGAAGGTACAATGTTGACATCAGCAGTAAAAGTTTGTTTTTGTCATGTACAAAGCCAAGGTAAATCTTTCTAAAACCTAAAGATTTTACTATACAGTTCTGTTTTGCAATTGCAGCATTTCATTTGAAACTTACGCTTTGTGCCTGGA